GCTTTGGGATAAAAAAGAGCTGCTAAAAGTATAAAACAACTGTGTTAAATCATTTTCATTTATTCAGAAGCCGCAGCGCTGCGCACCACTCGTAAATTTTGTTCGTATCTGAAAAAAATCTTAGAATACGAAAACATTGCTGAATGCCACAAATTCTCCTAAATCACTCGTACGCACAATTTAAGAACAAATCTGTGCGTACAAACGGTTCTTGCATGAGGCCCAATGTTCCCTTTGTGACTTTCTATTCCTCTGTTTTTTTACTGTCCCTCCTACTTTCACTTGTCACTTCTCTATATGAGACCAAGCTATTTTGATGCATGTGTGTCTGTGGCACATGGCAGACACGCTGTCTGGGGACTGTGGGCGACAGAGACCTGCTGCCTCTTTCAGAGGCCTCTAAACCTCCCTCCCTAGAGGGGCTCAAGTAACACAATAGGGGGCAGACACACAACACACACAATCAGGCACATCCTTATTACTTTATTTTCAAATAATCTAAAATAAAAAGGAAAAAAACTCACTGATAGGTGGGTCTGTAACATAAAACATTAAACAAAACGTAAAGAAGTGCCACGACATTTAAATAACACTCAGAAGATGAGAACTGTGTGAAATTCATTCTCACACTTACTTATATTTACAAGAGGCCGCTCTGCCCCAGAGCAGCTTGAACACATTAGGTTGTAAGTGCATGGGAAAGCAGAGAAGTCATCAATCATGTCAAACCAAGTCTCACTGATTGATCTTATTAGAAAAAAAAGGTCTGCCTGGTATGTTGTTTGAGTCATAAAATAGTGTCTCAAAAACAAGACAAATAAAACATCTGAAAGCAAATTCTCACTCTATTGGAACCAGTTCACAAATGCTATGAAGTCACAGAGACTTAGATCCAGATTAAACCCATTGTGCAATATGTTGATTAGTTGTTTCAGTTTGGGTCGGTACTGGGTGTACAGATTTTCAAATCAGCACGTCTGCGTGAACTCCATGCCATTGTGAAGACTTTGATGAAACTTATTAAGAAAGRTACATAAGATCCAAAAGTTAGCAGTTAAATCATTTTGAATTATGGGCAACTTCTTCCTGTTTATTCCTGAGCTATGACCTTGAATGATGACCAAAAAGTCTTTTTTGTTGATGTTTTTTAAGGTGGTATAACAAAATTGACCTTCTGGTAAAAAAAAAATATATATATATACAGTATATCACATTATTTGTGACTTTTATTGAGAGTCGTATCGTTGCTCTTTACTGTTACTCTTTTGTTTTCCTATTATGTCCTTTGGAAAATGTCAAACCATCATAAACAAACTGATAGAGAATAAATTTGTGATTTGGGATCTTCAAACAGAAAACACAGTTGACGCATTTTCATTTTATATTAAGATCGTCACCCTTCTTCCTCAGTTCTGTCCCTTTAGCGTGTCTGCAGCACAAACCCCAACACACACGCCTATACAAAAACACTAAAACACACAAACAAAATGACGGCCCTGCCCACTCAGACTCCCCACTGCAAACACAAACACAGCTTGGACACGATATCACAACAAGGTAGTCGTCCTGGTAATTAACTTTTCTTTTTTTCTCTCAGGCAGCCTCAACCTTTCATTTCACCCCCGAGTAACGACACAGACTTTTCCTCACTCTGCGACATGTATCACATTAGCAGGCTGTCACACAAAGAGCACCGTGTCCAGGTTAATGCAGGGTTTATGTTTCATCTGGACCAGCTGACATTTTTCTCAGTGAAAACTATGGGAAACACAAGCCAAATCTGCTAATCTGAGAAATTCAAAAATAACTTAAAATGCTTTCATGGAATCCTTAGATTCATTTTAAAGATGTGTTTTTAACTGATGTGTTTACACAATAATTATTACAGTTTTCACATGGAAATAGAGCTTCTTAATTCCTATAACACCTGTTGTTAAGGTCTCTTTGAACTTAACACCACCTGTCAAGAATTATTTGCTTCCCAGGGATTTAGTGAATATTTGAAAGCGACGACAGGAAAGATGCATAGTATGCTCTATTAAATTCAATCGCTGCTATCTAACCAGTGCTGACAGAACCAAATGCAGTGGCGTCAGGAAGTGATACCCTGTCCTTCAGGTTTCAATGCCAAATAGAGAGCTCATTATTAGCCCTTGGCTGTATCACCACAGCCTGAGGCAAACAGACAAGGCTGTGCATGATTCACATTATTGTCAGGGAGTGGTGTCTTGCAGAGGAAGCTCTAACCAAATACGCCGTCACACTAATCTGCAGCTAAAAACAACACAGGCACCAGTGTGATTCTTCTGACAAATATCCAAGCACACAAGAAAAAAGGCAAGGATTTGCACAGAAATTAATGCACAGGAACCTTTACATACAGACAGCTCTGCTCTTATGTACACAGCCAAGGATTTAGACTCATCTAAGAGTTTCTTTGTTTTGCTCCATGAGGACT